AGCAAAAAGTGCTGCTCAGATGAAAGACTTCAAATCTTGGTCTGCAATACTGTAGTGCCCACCTGCAGCTAAGGGAGATAATCCACTATTGTTCTAAAATAATGGCTAAATTTATTTTCTCACCCTATCAAGAAGCCTTTGAGAGGGAACTGACACTGATTCTGGCCACTATAACTGCTATCAAAGTGCTTGAAATCAAATCCTGAGTCCATCCTCTTGAGTCCAGCCTTGGCGGACAAAAGTAAAATGAGGAGGAATGCAACAGAGGGATGCTTTTGGAGGCTCTCGTCAAGCAATCCCAATGGACCCTGAATTGAACATTTGGAATTTGCCCTGTTCTGACTTTTTTCTGGTTCCCCATCTAGAACTTGCAATGCTAACTACTCTTGCCTTTCCTTCTCCTTCACATTCTCTATTCACCAGTCAAGGACTTTCTTTCCTCCCTACAGATAAGAGTTATGCCATTTGGGAATCCTTCAGATAGACCCACTGAAGGAGTCTCCAATTGCCTCACCCTGCGTCCCTGTGCAGCACAGAAGAAGCCAAAGTGGTCTGCTTCCCGATTGCCTGTCACTAATTTGGGTAACCTCTTCAGAGGATGGCGTGATAAGAACAGGAGTAAGGAATGGGCTAGGCAGTTAGGGTAAAAAGACCCCAAAGAAAAGTAGCCAGTTTCTTAGCTGAAAGTCAAAATGTCCTTGGACATCTTAGAAACATACTCTGTTCCAATGGCCAAAAATGTTGAAAGTATTTAGGAGCTTGTATCCAATCCTTAAAAGATTTTTAGGGTTACCTCTTCAGGGAACGTGCATGGATTCGATCAAAACACCTTATATGCATGTATGAAATTCTCAGTAAATTATTTATTTTAAAAAAGAATTTGACAGGAATTTAGGTAATACCTTCCCATCCCCTATATGCACCTCCTTGCCTCCCACAAAATTTAATGTACTGTAATTCTATGCATGGGGGGAGGGGCATGAAGTCTAATTTAGAAAGATACAAAGATTTTTTAAAGCTAAGATTCCATGAGGTGAATAGAGGTGTCCTGAGAGTTTTTAAAAACCTACTGCAGTGGTAAAAGAAGCAAAGTTGTGATCGCTCAAGGCTCCAAGGTTCAATAACAGGGTTTATTCCAATGCCATATCCAGTGATGCACATACAAGGACGGGAAAAGCAGTATCGGCATTCATATCAGATTTGGAAGTTTGAAAACCTTATTCCCATGGGAAGAGCTCTGGAGGGAAACCTTTCATCTTCTCCTGGAACATTTTATCAAAGGCTTCAGCCTGAACTACAGTGAGGTGATTCTTCCAGTCTCCAGACTGACCTGGAAAACACAAATTAGACCTTAGATTGGGTTTAGAAATGGATCTCAGTGCCTCTCATATTCCTTCCTTCACATATTCTTAGCATCTGCTTCAGGAGCAGCATGTGGTTAATTCAGTAGAATGACAAGTGAGTCCTTAGAGAACCCTCCTTCTGCCTTGAAAACATACGCACACACACTTCTGCCGGTGTGGAAATGTTTCCCTGCCTTATTCTCTTTCCATCACATCGGATACACAACCTAACACGAGGTACCCCAGCTCTATCTTCTGTTTACATCTGGACTCCAGCTACTTCTCGCCACCTCTTTTTCTACCACACTGTCCAAGTCAACAGCTTTTCTCATCTCTACTGCCAAAATAAATAGTAATTTGTCTACATTTTACTGTTAACCTACAGAAGTTCGTCAGTCATCTTGATCCTTCCACCAGAGGAGGAGATCAAGCCACTTTCAGCTCAGAAACTCCAAGAACTTCCCATTTCACTCTGCCAAAGTGCCTGGGTACTCTGTAGGGCTCTAGATTATTCCATCTCCTGTTCTTTCTGGCTCCATTCCTTTCGACTATCCGCTGGATCTTACCCCTCCGTTCCAGAAGGCTTATGTTTGGACCTCAGAAACACCAGGTGTTCTTTGTCCCGCAGTGCTCTATCTTTGATACAGTCATGTCTTGCTCATTTACATTCTTAAAGAACTAACTCCAATGTAAATATTTCACTTAGGTTCCCTGTTGGACTCCATTTAGAATGTCCCCTCTGCTTTCTGAATTTTACTTCATAGCAGTAGGACTTTGATTTACTTCAAAACATTCACTTTTGTACATGCATGGAATATATATCTAGTATATTAGAAAGTCTAAAGTGTTCTTAAATTGTCAAAGACTTAGTTTCTCGAAGAGAATCAGACATATAGGACATATTTTTATGGAATTGTTGAATAAATTCGTGAATGAATGAGGAAGGTACAAACACTGCTATCATTTTGCAGATGAGGACAAAACAAGTCCTTTGGAGATTACCCATTACATTAGAGATGGTAAAGTCTACAAAGTTGTCCACTGCCATCAGTCCAAATGAAAGAATCATGTACGCACATCTATACATGAAGATTTAAATCTAACTAATTCAAGATCCTACATATCTTAGAGGTGGATATTTCTCATTAAGTTTCTCTTTAACTCTACTTTGTAAAAATATCGCCAAACTCAGATGTGTTAGATATGAGAGCTGCCATAACACAGTACCACAGATTGGGTGGCTTAACCTTGTATGTTAGAAATGACATTTCCTGTCTGGCTGTGTTTCTTCTTACATAGCCTTCAAGCGATACACATGCACTTGTGTACAAATACTGCATGTGTGTTTTTCAGTAGGCTTCTGAACCAATATATTTCCCTTTGAAATATTGATCAGCATAGTCCAAGAGACTCAAAATAACACAATAATATATTCATGTAGCCCTTGAAAACCTCCCAGAACTTGAAAATAAGACCCTATTCCTGAAGACAGGACATGCTTCAGACACAGGACTTGGAGAAACGATGCTGGAACTGACCTGGCAGCCTCCTCCCTGAAGACTAGCACTCATAGTTTTGGAGGACACTATGCAAGTTGCTTAAGTGAAAAAATCAATCAGTGGTCTAACTCCAGCTTTAAAGCCTAATAACCCCAACAATGACTGACACATGAAGCTATATCAGTGCACTAGTGGCACTTTTATCTTGGGGTTAATCGACAGCTAGCTCAGTGGACTTAAAGGCCACTCAGCAGGAGGGAACACATGTGTGCCCATGTAAACATAGCCAAATACACATGACTAGAGATGTCATCGAGCCTAAAGAAAACCCTACATGTGTCACATCCCTAGACACTCATAATTTCTTACTGTATGCTAAATATGTTATATATCCTTTATTATAGACAAGTATACTAGTCACCATTCATCAAAGACGCTTCTTTTTGAAACAGATAGAGACTATTACAGAGTTCCACAACTGGTCACACACAGAGAATATATGCCTGAGAGATGCCCAGCTCTAAGAGACACATCTACAGTGAAATCTCTATACATAAGCCTCATGGAATATAGTGGAACAGGAGGTAGAGAACTAATACAGTTCTCACCTCTCACCAGGGAAGGTCCCTCACGCAACATAATGTGACACACACAGAAGGTCACAACTGGCCAAGGTATAGAGAATAAGAGACTGCAGAGTGCATATCCCTGAATAGGACTCCTATATTAAACCTCACCCACCCATCGCTCAGGGACCATTGTTGAAGAAGGGATAGAAAGATTGTAAGAGTCAGGGTTGATGCATGAACAGAAGGAAACCAGATTTCAGGCCTCTGGACCGTAATCAAATTTAGACCCTCCTCATCCAGTGGATGAACTTGCGCTGAGGGACATCTGAGTACAAATCCTTGACCAATTAAGCTTTAACATATATGCATAATGCATGAAATTGAGTGTGGGAAGAGGGGCTATGAGGGAGAGTAGCTAGGTGAGGAGGATCTAAATTTGATTAAGATCCAATATATGAAAGACACAAAAACTCAACAAAATAAACATTATTTTTAAAAATCTATATTCCTCTAAACTGGAAAATCTAAATGAAATGGATGAATTTTTAGATCTATATGACCTAGAAAAATTAAATCAAGATGAAGGAAACAATTTAAATAGATTCATAACAACAAATGAGATAGAATTAGGAATTAAAATCTCCCCATTAAGCAATAAACAGGACTAGATGGATATATCACAGAATTTTCCCAGACCTTCAAATTAGAACTAACACCAATACTCTTCAAATTATTCCATAAAATAGAAAAGGAAGTGACCTTTGTGAATTCTTTTTTAAAGGCCATTATTAGCCTTATTACTTTTCTGTGCCTGGGACAACACATCATGACCAAGGCAATTTTTAGAAGGAATAGTTATGGGACTGGAAAGGTGGCTTAGTGGTTAAGAGTACTGGCTGCTCTTGCAGAGGACCCAGGTTCAATTCCCAGCACCTGCATGGCAGCTAACAACTATTTGTAACTCCAGTTGGAGGGGATCTGACGCCTTCCTCTGACCTTCACAGGCACTGTACAACGTGACATGGGTGCACTTACACACATGCAGGCAATACACTCATACACATAAAATAACAAAAAATTTTAAAGGAACAGTTAGGCCGATGATTGCAAAGTCCATTGTGTTAGGTAAGAGATAGAAGGGGACATCAGGAGCAGAGGGCCCACAACTTCAAGCACCCATAAGGGACAGAGAGGAAACTGTAAGTGAGGCAAGGCTAGCCACCATCAACTTGCTTCCTCCAGGAAGGACACAGCTCCTAAATATCCCATGACCTTTCCTTAACAGAGTTACCAGCTGAACAAGTGTTCAAATACTTGAACTTAAGAAGAACATTTCTAATTCATATCACCAAATATCCTGATATCAAAACCAGACAAAGATTGAACAAAAATCAAACCTAGAGGTCGATCTCTCTGTTGAACATAGATACAATAAAATCCTTCCAAAGAGAATTCAAGAGTATACCAAAAATACTATGTACCATGATTAAGTCAGATGGTTTAACATATGTAAATCAATAAATATAATCCATCACATAAACAGGTTCAATCACAGAAACCTCATGATCATTTCATGCACAAAAGGCCTTTTGCAACAATCCAACCTCTCTTCATGGTAAAAGTCATGGTGACTCTAGGGATACTGGGGACATATCTCAACATCGTAAAGTCTGTTTCGAACAAGCCCATAGCCAACATCAACCTCAATGTGGAAAAAATTCAATGTATTTCCACTAAAAACAGGAAGAAAATAAGGATGCCCATGATCTCCATTCCTGTTTAATACCAGTGCCCAATGTCTTAGACAGAGTCATAAGACAAGAAAAGGACATAAAGGGATTTAAATTTGAAAGGAAGATATCAAAGTATTCATATTTGAAAGTGATAAAGCTTGAAAGAATATGGTATGATATAAGACACTCCAGACCCCATCAGAAAACTTCTAGAGCTGATAACCACATTCAGCAAAAGAAGAAGGATATAAAATTAACACATAAAAATCAGAAGACTTCCTATATACCAGTAACAAACATTGTAAGAATTAAATCAGGGAAACAATCTTATTAACAATAACCTCCAAATAAATAAAATAACTTGGAATATACCTAACAGAGGAAGTAAAAGACTTGTATAAAAATTTAAGACATTGAAAAAGAGGCAGAACGAAGAAAGACCTCTCATGTTCATGCATCAGGAGGCTCAATATTCTGAAATTGCTATCCTGCCAAAAACAATTTGCAGTTTCAACAAAACCCCTAATAAAATTCCAATGGAATTCTTCACTGTAATTGAAAAAAAATCTTAAATTTCTTATGTAAACACAGAGAAACACCAGGATAGACAAACCAATTGTAACAAATTCAATAACTGTTGAAGGTATCACTATCCTTGAAAACAGACACACTGATGAGTGGAATAGAATTGAATATTCAGGTATAGGTCCAAATTCCTAAGAGCACCTGGTTTTTTAGAGAGACCAAAGTTATACACTGGAGAAAATACAATATCTTTCACAAATTGTGCTGGTCAAATTGGATAACTACATGTAGAAAAATGAATATAGATACGTATCTCTCAGTCTGCACAAAACTTAACTCTAAATGGATCAACAACCTCAACATAAGACCTGGTACCCTTAACTAATAGAGAATTGTGTAGGGCATACACTGAAATTTATAGGCAAGGAGAAATGGACATTTTCAACAGGAAACCAATAGTTCTGGCATTAAGACTAACAATTGACAAATGAGACCTTATGAAACTAAAAGGCTTCTGTACCACAAAGTACACCATCAATCAAGTGAAGAAGAAGTCTACAGAATGGGAAAAATTCTTTACCAGATGATAGATAGATGATAGATAGATAGATAGATAGATAGATAGATAGATAGATAGATAGATAGATAGATAGATAGATAG